CATTTAAGCTGAACTTATCTCTTTTTCTGTAAGACATTTGATTTTGCTGAATATTTGCAGGCTTCAATAGTAGTGCAGTCCATATAAAAACATGTAATCTTCCGTATGATATCGTGGAAATAGCGATACTGCTGCAGTACTAAGCTGTATGCCACATTGGCTGGTATTTCCGTAACATAAGGTTTGAAATCAGCATTCACAGTGCTCAAGCTAGCCTTGACAATTTATCAGTTAACTTAATCTGAACTAAGAAACTGAGGAGTTTCAGGTAATTTTCATGTTTCTCTCATTGCTGGACGACGTAAAATTTCAAGGAAATGGTGATTTGCGAATGGAGAAGAAATTTCGAATATGGAAAGGATCTGAGAGCATATTGTGTCGTTGATTAGTAATTTACCGAAGTGTCGAACTTACTAGGTACACCGATGCCAAGATCGATCAAATAGTAGTCGTCTGAGATTGCCATGATATTCTGCGTCCTTGTTATATTGTCCTCACCGGACAACATCACGAAATCATCCCACAAATCGGCTCTTAAATCCACTTTTATTTTGCTGAACGATAGCAATAATCATACAAATTCCTATCATAATACATTTGCTGCAGTCAAACTCGCTTTCAGATACAGCGGCGATTCTCTGCATAATGTTCAGTGTGAATGAAATATGAGATAGCAACATTATGATCCGAAACATATGCTTACAAAAGTAGTTGTTGTCGTAGTGAACCAATATTTTGTATCGGCAATGATATCGGCAGTCCAGAGCATGCATTCTTAACCAATAGAAGTACCGCAATAAGGTGCAAGACTGAAATCATTGCATATGGAAGCTTGAAATTCCAACTGGTATCGCCCAGTGATTGCCTAAAATGCTGAATATATTAATCCATAAGGGATTTACCGTACTGATAGCATGAGATCAAAATGCAGCATCAACTAGTTTCAGCTTTAAATCACCGAGAAAGAAGTTGAAACTTGAAAAATTAAAAATTGATTCTTCATAAAACTATCGAATTACACTTTAATCGACTAATTTTTATTTGCCATTCTCGATAAAACGCCCGTAAAACTGGTTTCGATCGATTATTCACACACGATGCTTTAGTCATTTCGCTGAAATATGAAATAGTGCAACTGTGAAACTATCAACAATTGATGCGACTGTTCCGAAATGAACTGGAAAACGGTTTTTTAACTCACTAACAAGAAAAGTGTTGAACTTAGGTGATTTAAACTGAATATCGAATAAACGGCACCGATACTACCGTAGTTGTGTTTTCCTTGAACGCTTACTCACGCTTACTCTTCATTACGACTCAATAAAAGTTAAACGAGATCAACTTTTAGTCAGAATATCTAAGCTTATGGACTTGAATCACCGTATGTTTCTCTCCCAGATTCTTATCGATGAATCGCAGTCTGCTTGTAAGATTCAACAGCATGTGTTCTGCGATAGAGCATCAACAACTTGTGCATGCGTGATCAATTGCAATTCGACTAACATTAACACGCTCTTCAATTTGAGTTCCTCATTCAGGATTCTTTATTTAGTTTTTTTTTTGCTAGTGGCCTTTTAAATGAACTCATAAGTCGTATGAAAGCAAAATTATTTCAGTACCGCTCTTTTCGTAGTGTAAACTGTAGTGATAGGAGCAATGGGGCACAAATTGTATTTTAAGAAAGAAAGTATTTATTATTCTTTATCACATACACATCTACTCAAAAATTTAAACAGAAATACTATAAGCGCAATGAAAGCAAAGATCAATGGGATTGTTGGATCGAAGTTGTTGTCGTTTTCCAAGGTTTTGAAATTTTTAGGTTTCGATTGTGTGGTGGACATTGGCAATGAAGCCGATGAAGTCATCGTAACTGTTGTCACTTCGGTTGAATTT